TACAAACAAAATGAAAAGAGCTATATAAGCTTTGTGTTGATAAATTGGTCACTGTTTGGGTACTGCTGTAGGAATCTGACTGAAATTAGCAAAGCCAATGTTTGAGTCCAGTTTTATCCCTAATTTAAGAACTGAAGTGAGCTTGAAGCCTTACAAAGTAGAATAGCTTTCACTGCGGAAAGAAAAATTAAGTTTTTACCCCCAGATCAGTCATAATTTGCAAAAAAACTTAAAGAACTCCATTTAATAAAATATTTGATTAATTTTTCTGTATTATGTTTTGGAGACAACCATTCACAAAATATTTTTTTTTTAGAAATGTGAAAATCCATACGATGAAAATTCCTCTAAATAGTTTGTGGGTTTTATCACACAAATGCAAAAGATGGAAAGAAAGAAAGAGAGAGAGTTTGGCTCCTCTCATACCTTACTATTTGCTTGAAATATAAAAAATACCATTAACACCTTTTATTGCCTACAAAATTATCCAGTCCAGGTTTATTACTAAGTGAGGTACTGGTAGGTGACTTCTTCGTGTTTTCTTTTAATTAAATATGACTTCTCAGTCTTTTCAGACTGACCCTGTTCAGCTGGAAACATGCATTAAAAAAGGGGTATTTGTTAAATATTTAAATTCAATGATTGTCAGCATTTTTGATGAAATTTAGAGGATTTTGTTAGCTATTTTTTCATGCACTTATTACCATCTCCAGTATTATTAGCCTTTTCCTCCTGAAATGTGTAAGTTTGTTGAGTAGAGTTCCCAGTGTCCTAGAGCACTGGGGAGTATCCTGGGAACACTTGCTAGGTTCCACTGGTTGTATTCTAGGGAAGTGCTATGGATAAAAACTGGGAAAACAAACGTCTTGACCCCAAGAGTAATGTATCATGGTACATCTGAACCCACCTTGAGAACAGGAACCTGATTGCAAGCTGGAAAGCTGTGGGTAGCTGACACAGGGGTTAAAACAGAGGCAAGCTGAAAGGCAGGAATTTGCAGCTCTCCAAGTTCACTGGACATATTCATTATTGTGTTTGTAACCAGCCAAGTGTGTTGCTGGTGTAAGGTGTATGAAGCCCATTGCAGTGTTACACAAAAAAAGGCCATAAAAACACTGTGCAATGAAATTTGTGCTCTCCTGAAATACCTTGATGCTACCACAAAAGTATTCAACTGACATGCGTCCCACTGCCACAACTTTTTTAAGCGGGAATCCAAACTGATAAATTTCTTTCCTCCATGGTTAGGTGGAGGATGTACAAAGCCATTTTTTGTAGGAAGACTTGAGTCCATAATAATAAAATAAGGTTGATTTTAATACTTCAAAAAGTCCTTTGTTTAATTATCTAGTAACCATTTCTGTGGGCTCGTTGTTCTTATTTCTGTTCCCTTTTTCTCATAAATGGGTGTGGAATGGGATGGAAGAAGTTCAGGTATTATAATGTGCATTCCAGGATTGTTTGTGCTGAGCTGATTTTAATGTCTAGGGTCAGAAAAGCCAGTTTAATTATGTACAAACATCCAAGAGCTATAGACAAGAACTCCAGCTACTGATAAAAGTAACCCCAGCACTGATGAGTGTTGCAAAATAAAGATCCCCCAGAAACTCAGTTAATGGCATCTTTGTTCCTAACCCCTGACTTTGTAGAAGTCCTGATACTTCAGGTTTAAAAATTAACAATGTGGACCTGAAGTGAAAATAATACTTTGAAAGTGGGGATGAAACAAACTCTTCCCTTTTCATCTTCCCCAATGATTTACAGGCAAACACCACCCCAGGCAACTTCCGAACTTCCATAATTGCATTGAATTCCTTGTTAATTGGGCTTTTCTCTTGCATTTGAGTTCTTTCTTGAGTAATGCCTGCTTTATAATGATTTGTGTGCAGACAATAAATGTAGAGATTTAATAGGATGAAGGCTGTGGCTCCATATAAAGGTCCTTAACTCCCATTGAAATCAATACCTTTCCAATTATTGTTATGATTTTAAATTAATATGCATAAAATAGGATTATTATTAAATGTTTGAGGGATAAAAAGAGAATAAAAATACTGTTCTCCTCTAAAGGGATTGTGAAAATTGTATCTTTAGACTTTCATGGTAATTGTTCCTGTAACTTGATGCTTTTTACATCATATGTGCTCAATTTGAAAATAAGAATTTGGTGACTGTGTCTGGAAACGAGAAGGGAAACTTGCTTCATTTCTTGCTTGGACATCACCACAAGTTAAAAACCCCTGTCTTTCATCAGACTCTTTATGATGCCTGTTCTCGCTGAGCAAGTGGGGATAACAGCTTGTTTGTGAGTCACTAGAAGGTAAAGAATTGAAACTATTTTCTCTAAGCAAAGCAGAGATAAGTTGACTAAGGAGGAGTGAGCAGTATCTTTTGCTCTGAGAGAGGCTGTGAAAAAATTAATGAAGTGGAGCTGGTGTTTTTTTTCCCAGAGCAGAGTCAGAGGTTCGGGGATTTTGGCCGGTTCAGGAGTGCTGGCAGCAATGTCAGCATCAGCAGGGATGGGTGGCCACCTCAGTTCTGGGACCGGGCCAAATCTGCAAATTGCATCCCATCTCTCATGAATGCATTTATTCTTGCTAGTTTTCATGCACATCATGTTGTTACTGAAAGGAACAGCAAAAATACCCAGAAGTCTAAAGTCTAACAAGGAAAGGCAGTTTGCTCTCTAATGCTAAACAAATGTAATGATCAGGAGCATCCATGCTTGGTGCTGGAGTCTAACCACGAGTGATTGAGGTTGATAGGACATAACTGGTGACCTAACAACACTGTCAGGAAAAAAGGGAGATGAGCAGTCAGTGGCAAAGGCCGCTGTATTTTAGAGCACATAGTGATAGTCCTTCTCATGCAAACATGGCTTTCTGAAACAGAACAGATTCTGGTTATATTTTCTGTTGGCTCTAGATTTCTGGGTATTTTTTGGTTTTGTTTCTTTGAGTTTTTTTTCATAGTATATCTCATTCCCATGTAGGACCTCAGAATAAAGGATTATGTACAGCAAATCTTGCAAAAGCACACTGACCTGTTTATTTTATCCTTTATCCCATCATCAGTCATCTTTTCCCTGTTTTTGCATTTGCTCAAACTCTCTTGCTGTCAAATTGTTTCCCTGCTATTAGATCTGAGCAGAGAAACTGTTTTATCTGCAGTTACATGCACAGCCCAGTGGTGTATACCCAGTAACAGGGCTGTAGTTAGGACTCACACAATGGGTCTTTCTGAAATGAGATAGATGTTCCCAAAAGGTACAAACAGGCAGATGGCTGAGGAAATGGTGAATACATGATCCTTTCAGTTCAAAGTTGTCTGACCTAAATCAGAGTTTCTGAATTTAGATAAACTGGCCTGACTGCATCAGAAAGATGCTAGTGTAACAAGAGAAACCTTTATTTTAAGCAAGATGTTCTAGGCTTTGATGAATACTGAGCTGATTTGACAGGGTTTGCACGTTGTCTGCACCTTTTCTTGTTGCTGTTTGTTGGGCCATTCCAAAATTCCCAGCATCATGGTCAGTGGTTTCCCTTTTAGTGAAAGATGTAAGGAATGTTGGCCAGCACACATGCATAGAATGATGTCCCACATGGCAGAAACTGCTGTCTCAGAGGGCTGGTAGACAGGTGAAAGAACTGTCTTTCTGTGTCACCATAATCCTTTTCAAGAGTCTTCTGCTGACATTGTTTTTATACTTCATATCATAAGACTCAGCTTCCAGAGTCCAGGATTGAAGCTGTGGTTCTTTCTTTGCGGTCAATAGATGTCTGGTGAAACACTCCCAAAAAAGCCTTCTGTCACAAGAGCATGAGGAAAAGATGGAATGTGCTGTCAGTTCTTCCCTGACCTTGAGGAGGATCATCTGCTGGAGCTGGTGATAGTGGTTGGCAGATAAAGCTCTTCCTAACAGAATTTCTGAAGATTATATCCAATCTAAGCACACTTCTTAGATATTTACTTATCAAGAAAATTATTTGCAATGTGCTCAGTGTTTGTTTTCAACTGAAATCTTTGAGCAGGGCCATGAATATATAAATTCCGCAAAATTTGTAAGAGAGTCCTCTGAAAAAATAAATCCATGTGATCCAAATTAAGTATTTAGTTTTCAGTCTGATTTCTTGGCACTGGGGAGCTCATCTGGGACAATGTTATTGCTGCAAAGGAATTTGCTGAACTTGAGTTGTGCAGTGTTTGCAACACAGTCAAAGCATTCATGATTAGAGTATATGGACCATAACAAAATTATCACTCTTTTTTTCTATGAGGATTTGAATACCTCTTATTGAATGTCTCTCCAGACCACAGGTCAATCAATGAAATTTCACATAATATCAGTGCTTGGACCTCTTGAATGTGTGTTTGTGCATAGGCTGAAGAGGAGTTCCCATGGAAATTCTGTGTGACTAAGTAATTGAGGACTGTAGCATTTCTGCACTCATTGAAAAAATAAAAGTTGCTCAGGAAGTCTAAAAATTTAGCATTTTTTGATGTTAATATTCATCACATAAAAGTCTTAATAATGCTCTTTTGACATTATAATTATTTATAACATTACAGAAAGTAAAGTAACTCTGTATTTTTCAGTTCCTTGAAGAACATTTAATAAGAAATACTTACCTTTTCAGCACCTGAATATCTGAGTATCTTGTAATGACATCATTATCATATAATGATAGTTATACATTTGGATTTGAATAAAAATATACAAAAATTGATACTACCTATGTAACAGATAACCTCAAACATTTCTTTGAATAGCACGGTTTGGTATGTCTGTTTGGTTCAGTTTGTTTATAAATGTAATCCTGCAACACAGTCAGGAATCTTCTGAACAAACAGGGACGTGCTACATTTTAAGAGGCTTTTCATTTAGAATGATATTGCTGCTTGCAGTTTCTGTATAAGAATAACCACTCATTACTGAATTTTTCATCCAAAATATGAGAGAAATAAATAAATTATAATTAATTTTTTTTTCTGCTTTGCAGGTTCCTTTTCCAATGTGTTCTCCTCCAGCCAGTGAATTTTGTTTCACAGACCAGGTAAGCAAATATCCATAGTCTTTTTTTTTCAGATAAAATGTTTTCCAGACATTTGACAACTAATTCTGAGAGATTGGTGTTCTTAATTGTTGGATAAAATTTCCAAAATCTATTATAAATATATTCAAAAAGCTTTTGTTAGTTTTTAATTAAAAAAAAAACTCAAGAGAAAGACAATTACAATTTTAAGAGTGCTACCATTTTTTCAAGTAGGAAATTTACCACATTTTCCAGATGTTTGAACTTATATTGTTTCCTTCCCTTATTTTCTTTTCTCCTTGTTTCCTCACATTTCACATTGATATTTACGTGGGTGGGTTTTTTTTTTTTTTTTTTTTTTTTTTTTTTTTTTTTTTATCAGAGTCTTGCAAGTGGAACTTTTTTTTGCTATCTATTTCCTTCTACTTACCAGAATTTCAGCATTGCAAACAAAACCATCTGCTGAGAACTCCAGGGATGGTATTTTAACACCATGGGAATGGCAAAGCAATGCTCTAGTGACTGTTGGGAAGTAGAGATGGGTTTGGAAATTTATAAACACCAATTCTGAAATTAACAAAATACAATTCAGAAATTAATGAATTTAGAGGTAATGATCTGGTTTCATTGGCATCAAAAAAAATAAGGTAAAGCCACAAATTACACTCTTGCTGTTCCTAGGTTCATAGGATGAATTCAGTGTTTTACCTGTGGAATTTCAGTTTGACTGGCTGGTTTTGTAGGTAGTTGGCAGAAAACACCTTTTTTGTCCATCTCTTTTATTATTATGAGAGACTTGGGCAATATTATTTACATGCAGTGCAACTTTAATGTTGCCTACACACATTTGATAATTTTTTATCTTTTTTTATAAAATGATGTGGACAAAATGAATTAAAGTTGCTATTTTGGATGGAATATTATGTTCACAGTATATAGATGTGGTTTGCCTTAGATTCAAAGTTTTTGTGCTTTTTTATAGGCTTATCTTAGCCCTGGCTAGAATAAGCAAAACTAGCCAAAATAATAAATAAGATCAAGGTATTCCTTTGCAAGTATTTTTCTTATTTTATGTTAAAATAGTCCATTGCTCTACCTTTTTATCAATACTGTTAATCTCACCTTTTATTTAGATAAGCTGTTCTTTGCTCATCCTCTCATTATTCTAACTTCTTGACATTGGGTTTTTCTGTGGTGCTGCCAACACTTAAAAAGCTTTCTCAATCTCAGTTCACCAAGGAAAAATTTCATCCCTTTGGATCTTCTCCTGAAATTTGTTTTAGACAAATTGCTCCCAGTACCTTTAATGTCCTTTAAAAAATTGATATCTGCTTCAGCCTATGCTGCCTTTTGGGTGCTTAGTGTGATATTCCTGGGTTTTGTTTGCAAATTAGTCTGCAATCACACTGGCAAAGAAAGATAAAATATTGGTAAAAATACCTAGTAATTTCAAATGCTTAGTCTTAAGAATTTTTCAAAAGAATTTAATATTAAAAGTTTGGACTACTGATCAAAGAACAACAAAAAAAACCCAAAACAAAAAAAAATATTTATTTTTGCCCCCAACATCTGGGGTCTCTTTTTCTGCATCATTCGCATATCCAAATTAGTCATTCCTCCAAGATTCATTATTCTGGTGTTTTATTATGATATTTTCTTCAAAAAATTGATAGATATAATTATTAACAATAAATTAATCCATTAACTTTACCAGCTCTAGCAAAAAGATGGCTGTTGATATTATCTGATTTTTTCTTCTTATATCAAAATGTCTACTGCAAGATTTGTCATGGTGTTTGCCTTACAGATATCAATTGCAATGAAATTGTAATGCTTTGATTGATTTGAAATAATAATTGGTTTATTTATCAATATGAGATATCCATGAAAACAAATCATTATGGCTCAAATAGCTATTTTAATTTATTTTTTAACAGCCTCTCTGTAAATATCATTAATCATTTTTCTGAAACAAAAATCAATGTAATTTATAAAGATTTCCCCAAATATGTCTTTGACAGGACAATTTTTTAAAATTACTTTAATTAAAAGAGTGAAATAAAATTCATCATCAAAACTTTATTTTCTGTGAACAAATTACTTTCTCCCACTTCATCCCTACACCTTCCATACTTTCTTTCTTTGGCCACCACTCTCAAAGATTGCATGGTCTATGTTTCTGGATAAAATATGTCTGGCAGTCAGTGACATTTTTTTCAAGAAGCTAAGTCCAAAGGCAGAGATTAGATCCCCCAAACAGTTTCATACAAACTGGAGAAACTGAAGAAGTAGCCTAAGATGATCTTTGAGATCCCTTCCAACCCAGGCCATCCTATAATTCTATGATTCTCTGAACTGTTTGCTCTCCTTACTGACTTTGTTTATGGCCTCCTTTGCCCTTAATGGTGATGCTTGTAGGCTTTATGAGGTACAATAGAAAATGAGCAACAAAAAAGCTACAAAAAATGAGGTACAAAAAAATGCTACAAAAATGAGGTAGAAAAAAAAATGAGCTACAATAGATATTTCTGCTCCATGAACACAATATATCTTTGCATGTACTCCCTAAATGTCAATGAATTAATTGCATTATTTTGAATATATGTATGTAATGAACATTTCTGTGATGAAGTAAAAGGCTTGGCTGAATCAGGTGATGACCAGCTCAACATGGAGGGCAGTGCTGGTCTTTAACACTGGTACAGAAATGCAAGCTGGTTTGGCACTTTTCATTTCTCTTTGTCAACTTAAAATGTGAATCAAAGTATTCTAAAGGTTATTCAGGTTTTTGGTGAGCCCCTAATTCTGTTGATATTTGTGGGGTAGGACACTGTGAGCCTGCAAGGTTGCCTGGTGACTGAGATACTGGGATACTGCTCCAATACTGTCCAAAAGCAGAATTTTCCATAGATATTTGATCAGCAACAATTCTTACAAGAATTAACATTCTGTCAAATAACTGCATTTTAAAGTTTGTCAGGCTACTGGCATTCTCAGAGACTTTGAGAATGGTATTTCTAATAGTATGGTTGCATTGTTATCACACAATTTCTATGCAGTACACAAATTGAGAACCAGGAATTATCAATAATATAAAAAATCCAAGGAAAAGGCTTACTTTTAATTTTTTTAATTTTAAATATTTTCAACAACTGGTGGTATCTTATATTTTCATTTCAAGGAGTAAATTTGGGTTCTGTATGAAATAATAAGAGCTCTAAATAACTATTTTGAGGCAAAAAATATCTTGGAAGTGTATTCCATAAGAGCTCTGGTAAATGACATGGCAATTCTTTCAGAAGATTTTGTACTCCAATGATGCCTTTTTGAAATACTCAGGGGTTTTAGCAAGTTAGGACTATTGCAGTTCATCAAATTACTGGCAGATACAGACCAAACTCTAAGGAACAGCCATTGTGAGCAAAAATTGGATTCACAGTTTTCACAAACAGAATCTGGTTGCCAGTGTTACACTTGAACAAAACCACAGGTTTCACCTAATTACTCTCCACTCAGGTCTCAGATGCATAAGGAGATCTATTCCCAAACTATAAACCAAGCAGGAATTAAATAAACCAGTGGTTCTCCATTAATTGTGCTTCACTTAAACCTCCTTGTAAACACCTGGTCCTGGCTCTCTCAGAAATCCAGGTCTGGACTTAGGAGCCCCAGGTTTCATCTCATGTGGTGGTTTCTATATTGTTGTTTTTCTGGAGTCTTGTGTGGCATAAAACTGTGTGTTTGTTCCTGTGCACAGGGATGAGTTTCATACAGAATCAGTACAGATGAAATAATTTCAGTTTGCCCCTGAAAAATTAACAGCCGTATAAAAGCAGGAGTAATTTCTTCACCAAGTCTAGGGCTTTGCCCACGTTTGTACTCAAAATTCCACAAATCTCTGAGTGAGTGCAAAAAGTCCATTAAAAAGCAGCACTTTTATTTTTTCAAAAATGCAAAAATGCAATTTCATTCATTTGACTAAATATTTTGGCTATTGAAAATAACTTAATGCAGAGAAAGTTTTCATAATGCCCAACAGTAAATAATTGCTCCTCTGGGCCCTTTGTTTTAATTGGTGACAAGAATATATGAATATGTGCATTTTTTGAGAGAGGCTTAAATTTGTTAAATGGCTGTTTCTTTTTCAGCTTGGATGTGCAAGAATATGAACTTCAGTACTAGTAATTATAAAATGTTTTTTGAGGGTTTTGCTGTTGTGGCATTTTGGTTTGCTAAGAGGGTATCTCTCTTCAGTTTATATCAGCAGTGGAAGACCCCAGAACTGGTATTAACTTTGCATGTATATTTTTGTTTGCAGTATTTTTATTTAACTGGTCCTAAATTCACTTGCATTTTCATTTCTTATGACCAGCAATATCTGCTGGTCAGCTATGCTCAGTTCTGGGGATGACTTGTATGGCTAATCTCTCCAAATTTGTTCTGCTACTGAGTGGCTTTCTTCAGCGTGTTGGCACACATAACCTCCCTTTCCCTGGCAGGAGGTTATCACCAGAAATTCCCCCTCTCTTTGGTCAGAGGTTTGATGTGTGCTGAGTCAGATCCTGCACCCACACAGTTAAAACACAGCTTTAGGTGGACCCAGCCCCTCCTGTGCAGATTTCACCCTGGCAGGGAGAGGAGCTGCCCCTGAAGAATAAAAGTAGTGTGTGCTTCACTCCTTGAGAGGGAGCTGGTTTGGGAAGGGAAATCCAGCCTTTTTTCCTGGATCAGGGCTCTTGTCCTGGCCCACTGTGTACACTTGAGAAGTCAGGATCCAAACCCCCTGTCTCCCTTCAAGCAGCTCTGCCACCTTCCTTTCTTAAAGGAAAATAAGATTATTTTGGGATCATTTGAAATTAAATGCAGCCTTGGAATGATAGGTTCTAATGGGTGTGGAATACCTGGTGTCACTTTTTTTGCTGTCTGCAGACCTGGGAAAGCCCAACAATAGAGCCTTAAGCTAACTAACCAATTAAAATGCTTTTAATATTTCCTATGCAAAGTTCCATGCAACATTGTCA